CTTATCGATTCTCTACTAGTGATGGGAATACAGGTTCCACATGAGTCGCGTTACAATAGCGACCGTTCCAGAAAAATACCGCGATTTTGTAATCGAGGTGCCAACTTCCTAAGCGGTCCTCGCTTATGTAGTATTTCTGGCATTGGAACCTACTTTTATTTTGTACTACGTACCTAGTCTCACAAACCACTGTCAAAAAAAATTCGTTATTGGTGACCGGTTTCGGCATTTCCAGCCATCATCAGACCTTAAAAATAGATATAAACAATAAAACTTATATAAATGTATAAAAGCAAATAAAATTTTCATTTTATTTTATTTGCTTTTACGTTTCATCTTTCAAACAACGCTATTTTATACCATGCTTAGTACATACCAAAAATCGCTATTTCAAAAGTAACGTAGCGAAGGGAGCACCAACGCCAATAGTAACCGACCCAATCGCTACAGGCGAAAACAAAACCCTAAAAGCGCTCCAGCGACTGCTGGAACGAAGTAAGCCGCCTCCGAGGTCGAGCGTTGATAGCCAGTTGCAGCAGTTACTTCTGTAAGCGACAGGGAACTAAAACTCTAGGAGCGCGACGGCTGGAGCGAAGTAGGCCGCCGCGCCGCCGAGGTCGAGCGTCGATGCCCAGTTACAGCAGTTCCGCGACAGGGAACTACAACTCTAGGAGCGCGACGGCTGAAGCGAACACGTCGCCGCCGCCATCGAGATGGCCCGACGCTACGTTCAGTTCCAGTAACTATTGTAGGTGACCGACGAAATCGGGACGGCTGCTGCTGGAGCTAAACACGTCGCTATGCAGTTACTACGGTTCAAGCTAACTTCCAGAGCGATTATAAATAATTTATTTGCAAATTATAAATAATTTATAATTTTGTCGTCATTATGATCGTCGTTCTACAGTAACAGGTTCCCCATTCGTTGTGGAGCGCGACACGGCGTTACAAAAAAATACCGCTCCAAAATCGCGTTACTCAAATACCAACATATCACTAATCTCTACACCCTAAAGTCAATCTGTTTTCCAAAAATCAGCTTTTTACATCAAGCGCTTTAAGCAGGATCGTGATTAATCAATGACCAGAATTTTTGAAACACCCTGTATACATTTTTAAAAAATCTTAAAATATGTAAAAAAACGAAATAAAATATACGTATTTAAGCGTTTTTTCGGAAACTTGTCCGTTTTTTAAATAACAAATATTGTAATTTTTGAGGGGTGGTTTCACCCTCTTGGAACTGGAATTTCGAAAAATCCCTTCTTATCGAACCTCTACACCCTAGAATCAACCTGTATACCAAAATTGAGCTTCTTACGTTGGGTTGTTTGAGCAGGATCGTGATTAATCAGTATGTCAGTCACATAAGGATTTTATATATTAGTATAGATTCGTTCATTTTTCACAAGTTCGCATACGGGTGTCCCTTTTTGGTGGAAATCATACGGTACCTCCGTTATTAGTGAAGATAGAAGGACATTTATTAACTATACTTTACAGTAGCCAAGGGGAAGAAAGAACAGAAGCCCAAGGATGCACAAAGAAATCATGAACATTTAAAAGTATAGTTTTGCAAAAACAGGTGTCATCTCTCGTGGGGAGATTCCTCATGTAAAAATAAGATTGATTTTTCATATCAACATAGGTCCGATTCTGCTTTGTTTCGTAGCTACAGAGGGTTACAGTTGAGGGTTGGAAAGGAAAGGAGGGTTTGGTGTTATACAGCAAAATAAAACACTAAATCACCACAATACACCAAAACACTTTTACTTTTACACTGGACGCGCGTTTCGCTAACCATGTTAGCATCATCAGCAGATGATTATAAAACTAAAGTACAATCTACAAGTTGAGCGTTTATATACTCGCTCAGTGGGCACCGAGTGGGCGTGGAAACATCTAGCCATCCGAGTCAAAGCCCACTAACCGTAACAGTTAGATTTCCGCCACTAGAGTAGTAGGAACAAAGAACTTGAAGGAATTGGACCGTTGTCTCTGTTCATACTATCTTTAAATTTATTAATTCTGATGCTTTCAGAGGGTGTTAAAATCTTAGTATTTTTTCGGTTTATTATAGGTTTCCAACCATCATTTCGGGATCGTTTCGAAATCGTACTCGAATCGGTTTTCTTGCACTTTTTTAGTATGCGCGGACAAAAAGTATCAACGTTGGAACGCTTGTGGATTGTTTTCGGGACTGTCAAAAGTGTCAAGCGTCCGTGTATCGATCGGTTTTTTGTTTTTGTTTAGAATTTCATAACATAACCACGGCACATAAAATAATCGGCACGCCAACTCTACTCAGATTCCATTGTTTAAAATTTCTATAAAATTTGACCTTGTCGGCGCCATTATGGTTTCCTAGTCAGGGCCGGATTAAAACGTATTAAAAAAATTCTCAGAAAATACGACAGGGTCGTATTAGAAAAATACTGTAATTGACTGAAACTGAATTTTATTTACAATACTTTTGTCCAAACAAATGAATCGTTAACCACGCATACTTCTCGAAAAGTAAAAATGAAAAAATCAATTAAATATTTCACTGTAGAGAATAGACAATTAAAATTAAAAAACATGCAACTAACAAAAACATGCCAGGAGTTACAAACAAGAATTAAAAAAATACCAATAAAATATTTATTGAACAATATAAAGAGGCTACGTACAAATTTTGCCCATCAATGGGCGTAGCAAATTTTATTAATATTCAAATTTCACAAATTAATAAATCCACAATTTTTTTTGAGAAACTTCTATTTTTTTCATGGCAGGAAACAGTAGGTACCGCATTGTATTTTATACGGTTACAAAGTGAATTGGTAAACATTTTAAATTCAAAGTGAACAGAACGCAACCTGTACTTGTGGGCCTTATTTATATCTTCAATCAAGTCTTCTCTATTAGCTGCAATTGCCCATGTTCTTGCCCTAAAAATGTATTGTTAACTTATTTTTGATATAATCATTTTATTTATTTTTATAATTATATTTAAATGAATAATATAATGATTTTTAAAATTAATTTTTAATGTCTAGATTCTAGATACAACATTAAATTTTATTTTACTAAATATTTAACATTAAATCATACTACTATTAAAGTTTGTTAAGATTTTTAATTAGATCTTCCTATTTAGCTGAATGTCCTAATATGTATACTACTGTTTTTTTCACAACTAAAATATGTTAAAATAATTAATCACATATATACATACCTAATAGGATCTCTAGGAAACAGAAAGAAACTTTTATTGAACAACAAAAATAAAACTACTAAAACAAATTATATTACATAATAATAATAATAGCTCCCGTATATAGCGTTTAACGCCTTGGGAGTAGCAAGGTACAGCTTGCCATACTAGAGCCGTTCGGTATACAAAGGAAGGTAATGTGGCTAGCACTACGCTTCAACCGCCTATTATTACCTCAGGATTGTGAATCCCAAGTACTCATTTAAGGCTGAGTCGACCTAGGTACCCAAACTATTTTTATTTTAATAAAAATTGTCGGCTGATGAAATGCCGGGTGTGGGATTCGAACCCACTACCTTGAGATTGGTAGACGAGAGCCTGTACCTCTACGCAACCGGGCACCTATTGGCAACTATATTACATAAGAAACGAAAATAAAACTAGTAAAACCAAATATATCACATAATAAACAAAAATAAAACAACAAAAACAAAATATATCACTCAAGAAAAAAATCAAAATAAATTAAGCCGCACGCTACTGACTCGAATCTGCCGTAACTGTGTGTTGTCGCTGAAAAAACTACGACACTGGTTACTTTGTGTTGATGGAAACCCAAATGGCGGCGTGCGCGAGGATATGCGCGTAGCGTTCCCGCCAAAGCGAGTTAGCCTGCCGTGTGATTTATATGCCGTGACATAACCCTATTATTTTTGTTTGTAATTTGCGATAATAATAATTATTATTCTTGAAATGGAGAATCAGAATTCAGTAATTGTTGGTAAGTGTTGTTTCAACTGTATACTCACTAACTCACTTACCTATCCTCTCTTTTATGATCCTGTTATGCGTAGTTTCCTGTTATTTCATTGTGGTGGTAGAATCATTATTTTATAAATAAAAAATTAATTAAAATTTCCGAACGATTTACTCCACACAAACTCACAAGCAAAAGTATAACGCACACGTATTCGAATTCGTAAAAAATAACCAAGACGGAAGCATCAGCCGGACGCCGGACAAGAATCAGCTGTTAAAAATCGATAATCCCTGCCAATATGCTTTAATGCGCAAGTCAACCCAAACAGTTCTCAATTTGGACCATGTACCGAAATGACCGTTCTGAAATCGTAACTAAACGATCCCAAGGTAGGTTGGTACGTAAATAGGATCGTCCGATAACCGTCAAATCTCGGTTGGAATACATTTCAATTACTGCGCACGAGCGTGATCGTCCGGTGATGGTTCTGCGGCGGGTTGGAACAAACCTTATGATTCAACATTAAATTTATGTATAAATAAATTTTCACAGGTATAAATTGCCGGGTTTCATAACCATAAAGTGATTAGGTAATTATTATACTAAAAATACAATTAGTTAGGACAAATTAGATGCAAATAGACTTTTACAAAGACAAATAATTTCAAGATCGACTAGACTAGAACAAAATATATTTAACAGTGAAAATTTTATGCATTACTCAGGCAACTAGGTATTTTTAGAAATATTTAATAACAATAATTCCCCTTTGTAAATAAATACGAATTAAAACCTGTATTTTTTATATTAAGTTCAATCAGCTGATTACTAATTACGTACCTATTGTTTACATTTTTTCAACGTGAATTATGGATATCCATCATTATTTTTTCTATTATTTATAGTACTATAACATTCAACAATTATAGCAACGTCACGATAATTAAAAAAGCTGATGATGAAAAAACTGTTCATTATTAAAAGGAGCGTGTTTATTGTTTTATTAGTTTATCAGGTATTTGACGATATTCAGTTGGATCGCTAGAATACTATCGTAGTACGGTCTATGTAGTACAATCGTACTATAATATTTTTTTTTGAGTTAAGTTAACGATTTTTAATTTTAAAATTTTAAGTGAATTTGTGCTTGTGTTTTAAGACTGTTAACACTATTATAACAATAATAATAGTTGTTTGGTTTTAACAAATTATCTATAGGATCCAGAGCCAAAACAAACCAAACCAAAACAAATTATCTATAGGATCCAGAGAAAATAGTAAGAGTTAAATTTTATTTTTTAGAGAATTCTTTATTATGATGTACAGGGTGTCCATTTTTTGACACTTTTGCATGGTTTCTGGCTTATTTAGATAGAGGGTGGCGATTTCCGTCACACTACTGTGCTACTTTTTCTTATAAAACTAATGATGCTATCTACACCGAAAAAAATAATTTGTGAATTCAATAACAATATTGAGGGTTATTTCTTGCCACAGATTATTGTAGTAAATTTACCATTCGTTCTTTAGTTTGTAAAATCGCTTGTAAAATTGTGGCATGCATGTAAATATGTTATAATATATCTTTATATTCACCAATATTCTTTGTGTATTTGTATTTCATAGTAAATTTACTTATTCATTGTAAATTTATCTTTTAAAATCGCCAACTTCTTGCAATATTACTAGAGAGTAACCGCAAATTAAAACATTTTGTTATAGTGAATTTACAATTTTCTTTTGCAAATTCAAAAAGCGTTAGTAAGTATTAATAAATTTAATAAAACACGTTTTTAGAAATATAATATTTATTATAACGTTAATAAAAAGTCACAAAACAGAACTTATGTAGGTAAGATACTCATTGCCATCTCTTCTTGTCTAGAAGAACCTTAATGAATTTCTGAGCCTAACCAAAATAGGAACAAAATTGCAAAACAAGGAAAATGCAAGAAAAAGGTACCTAATCAAAACAGCAAACTTGCCAATTTACAAACTATACAGGGTGTTCCAAAACAAATGCGAAAAACTTTAGGGAGTGATTTCTTGTTCAAAATAAAGGGTAGTTTGCTTTATAAACGTTGGGTCAAAAGTCAACCATTAGGGAGATATCGCGGTACAAAGATGGCGGAAAAATAATGTTTTTATTTTTTATCTTGAAAATGAAAAGCGATAGATTAATGAAATTTTATGGAATCATTACTGTTATGAAAATACACTTTCTGGTAATTTTCTCACTTTTTTAAAAGGGGTGGAAGTGGTTGAAATAAACTACCCGTATCATTCTTGTTAGCGAAATTTTAAGAAAAATCTTATCAAACACATGCAAAAAAATAATTTGGATAGTTTAGTTTGTTTAGAAAGTTTTTATCTCTTGTGTTTTTTTGATAAAACTCACCGATTTGAAATTAAAAAATAAAATGTAAAGCATTACATGTCAGGACAAAAAACATTTTTAGATAAAGAAAAAAGGCTTCGGAATAATTAATTGATCGTAAGATAATAACGTATTGCAGTAGATTAATGTCAAATAAAATAATATTAGAATCATCCTAAAAAGGGACAGGGGCCGACTAGATTTTTTCTTAAAAAAATTACAGCAGCCCACTAGATTCTTTATCTAAAAATGTTTTTTTGTCCTGACATGAAATGCCTTACATTTTATTTTTTAATTTCAAATCGATGAGTTTTATCAAAAAAACACAAAAGATAAAAAAGTTTCTAAACAAACTGAACTATCCAAACTAATTTTTTTGCATGTGTTTGATAAGATGTTCTTTAAATTTCGTTAACAAGAATGATAGGGGTAGTTTATTTCAACCCCTTTCACTCATTTTAAAAAAGTGAAAAAATTACCAGAAAGTGTGTTTTCATAACAGTAATGCTTCCGTAAAATTTCAATAGTCTATCGCTTTTCGTTTTCAAGATAAAAAATAAAAACATTATTTTTCCGCCGTCTTTCTACCGCGATATCTCCCTAATGATTGACTTTTGATCCATTTGTTTTGAAACACCCTGTATATAGGACTGTATAATAAGTGGACAAATTTAAGAGAGGACCGGAGTAGAGGACTCTGTACATCCATAGTCCCTAAGTTGGTAAGTTGACTGTTTTAATTAGATCCCTTTTTCTTGCATGTTTCATTTATTTTGTATCTAATGGTAATTTTGTTCCTATTTTGGTTAGGCGCAGAATTCCAGTAAGGTTCTTCTAACAAGAAGAGACGCAAAAGTATCTTTCATACATAAGTTCTGTTTTGTGACTTTTTATTAACCTTTATAATAAATATTTTAATTATAAACGCGTGTTTTATTAAATTTATTAATATTATTTACTAATCCAACAAACACAATTTATTGCTGGAACATTGCCAAAACTTCGCAAAGCAAGGTGTAACATTGCTTTTTTCATTGTAGGGAGGATTATGCAAGGTTTCAGGGTAGCTTAATCTTCCGCCTAATAACATTGCAGTGCAAGGTTGCATTTCACAATATTATTGAAATGTTGCTAACGTAACGTTCAAGAAAGTACTAATTTGGGATGTATTAGCAACATTGTTAATTTTACGTCAATACAATATTGGTAAAATTATATTATAAAATATAAATGTCATCGATCGTCATTTCCCAGCCAACTGGACGCCGTTTTTTTTTCGATCATACGGTACTTACATTTACATTCGTTAAAATCTCATTCGAAAAGCTTAAATGTGATACCAAAAACGTAAAAAAACAAGTGCGTTAACCTAACCTAACTTATACCGTATGATCGAAAAAAAAGACGTCAGCGATGGCTGTGAAAAGAAAATCGCTGTCATTTTATATGGGGAATGTCATCAATATTCATTTCCAAGCCAACTTGACGCCGTTTTTTTCGATCCTATGGTATATTTGTTATATTATTAATTAATATTAACTTGCGCGGATCTTTCATTTGATTCTTTGTTGCAATGTTGCAGAAAAAAACGTTTTAATCACCATTCAAAAACAATGTTTCTGTAGCAAGGTTTCATCAATCACGACACAACGTTTAGAAATCAACATTACAAAGCAAACTGTTTGGGGATTGACTGCAATGTTGCAAATGTAATGTGAGGTTTTTTGCTTGGTGGGAACACTTTGTGAATTTACAAAAGTGATTGTAAATTCACTATAATAAAATGTTTAAATTTGTTGTTATTCTATAGTAATATCTAGTACAAGAATTTGGCGATTTTAAAAGATAAATTTACAATGAATAAGTAAATTTACTATGAGATACACATTTTTTACATAAATTCACAAATATTATTGGTGAATATAACGATATATTATAACATATTTACATACATGCCACAGATTGGCCATACAGCGATTTTACAAACGAGTTGTAAAACTAAAGAAGGGATGGTAAATATACTACAATTATCTATGGCAAGAAATAACCATCAATATTGAGATCGGAAAAGTTAGCAACTCATTGAAAGCAGAAATTATAAAATACGATCCTGCTTGGGCTGCTACAATCCTGCTTTATCCTGCTTCAAATCCCAACCCAGCCACACCTACCAATTTTGAGCTATAGTTACTTTTATTTTGGTTGCTGACTTCCCAGTTGGCAACACATGAGAAGCAGGATAGCATCATCAGCAGATGATTATAAACTGAAAGTCAGCAACCAAAATAGAAGTAACTATAACTCAAGATAGGTAGGTGTTGCTGGGTTGGGATTGAAACAGGATACAGCAGGATTGTAGCGGCCCAAGCAGGATCGTATTTTATAATTCCCGCTTTCAGTGAGTTGCTAACTTGTTCGTGCTTTGGCTGCTATAATCCTGCCTTATCCTGCTTCAAACCCCATACCAGCCACTATTGTCGTTTTTAAAATAGAACGGATCGATTCCTGGTAATCAGTCGCACATTAAGATTAGGAATGATTTTTTTTAACTTATATATAAGGAATCTATTCGTTCTATTTTAAAAACGACAACGACAAGAGTGGCTGGTATGGGGTTTGAAGCAGGATAAGGTAGGATTATAGCAGCCAAAGCAGGAACTCGTTTCAGCCATCCTGCTTTTATTAGGTATGTTGCTATGTGCGACGTCACCAATCAGACTTAAACTTGCTGTATCTTAAAAACAGCAAGTGTTGCTGGGACGAAATTCGCTGCAGGATGCAACAGAGGGATAGAAACGTAAGCAGGAACCAGTTTTGGCGATCCTGCTTTCCATGTGTTGCCAACTGGGAAGTCAGCAACCAAAATAGAAGTAACTATAACTCAAAATAGGTAGGTGTTGCTGGGTTGGGATTGAAACAGGATACAGCAGGATTGTAGCGGCCCAAGCAGGATCGTATTTTATAATTCCCGCTTTCAGTGAGTTGCTAACTTCCCTCACCTTCAATATTGTTATTAAATTCAAAAATTAAATTTTTCAGTGTACTCCTAAACAAGAAACCCCATAAAACACGAAAATCGGACGGCCTGAATTTTTTCCATCCCCCATTTGACTTAAAAATAAAGTTATCTATTATAATCACACGTTTTTTCGGTGAAAATATGTTCGTAATTTTTTATAATCCTCCTGATGGGCGTATTTATAAATTATTAATGATGTGTTGACAAATAATCTCGGCACTCTTAATAAGTTCGAAGGATCAACGATACCATTAGCTATATTTAAATATTTCGGCTTATTTTTAGGCTTGAACGACATCCATTTTTTATTATGTAAATATGTGATGTGTTCCCGGTGTCAGATCAAACGAAAAATAACAGAGCGCGTCGCCGGTTGAAGTTTCCTCTTGACCTTTTGATCGGGGAAACTTTCGTGTTTGTGAATAGTTTCCTTATCTCCAAGTGTAGAAAAGTTTTATGAAAAATGTTCCTGTGATTGTGTTTTGTGAAAAAGTTGCATTTTAATTTGCATAGGTTTAATTGTTTTTGTTTCGAATTGTTTGTGAAAAATGGCTTACCAAACACAGAACTAAAGGTACAGTATACAGGGTGGCGCCTCTTATACGACGCGGAGGCTCCAAGGAGAACGACAGCTTGTATTGAGATGAAATTTGGTGGCCATATACAGGGTCCGGCAATAGTGCGTCGGGCATCTGTAGCTCCTAGAATAAAGAACTTGGGAATTTTGTTTAAGCGTAAACCTAAAGTATGTACAAGGATGTATTTCAGGAAAATATTTTAACTTCTATAGGGTGGCTCAAAAAAGTGCGAGTGGATCGGGATGTTTTTTTTTAAATGGAACACCCTGTATATTATTGCATTTTTGGCTTCCTTTCAGATCA